GAAACTGCGGGGGAAAGTACTAATTCCACTGTTGATGGTCTTTGGTTTTATATTAGGTACTTTCAACAAGTTGAATGTTGCATAATAATGGTTGCACTTAAGTAACCCATACAACTTAGCTACTGTGAAAGATACGTAGAAAAGGAAATGATAAAATATGCAACAAAACTAACATTATTCACCAACACGTGTGCAAATGACATAAGTACTTATGTACTATCTAGGTAGGTAAGTAACAATTCTATTTAGTTTTACATTATCATAGCGGATTATGAAGATACTCTCGATGATGCTAATAGATACAATGACATCTAATCTGTTGATAAAATGAGTAACCATGTCGTCATAGGAAATTCTAGATACAATATTGGTACGATATTAATAAATCTCTAGGTGTAGGTAATGTTCCAAATGACCATTAATTACTGCACTGTTTTTATTAAACTGAGACACATTTTTGTATCAGAATACACTCACATTTTTGCTATTTTAAAAGAGCAATCTACACTAAAATGTTCATTCGTATTCTATGATTTTAGAAAGGCTTTCGATTAAAACGACATCAATATCTTTCCCGAATTTCATAGATTCTAATTTTTTGTTTTTTATTTAGCAATCATTCAAGTTGACGCTTCTTTCGTTACAGCTTTATGGCGTCTGCCAACGTATTCATTAATGACTTCATCTACTTTTTCCAAATTCTTCTTTCTTAGTTTATCACTGAGCGTGTCATGTACAGTTTTGTCTACACAAATCATATTTCAAGGGCCATCGGGAGATAGATTAAAACATTCAATTTACTCACGAACTATTTTATAATATTCATTAAGAAATTGTTTACTCACAGCCAAATTGTGTTCATTTAGAATATCCGAGACAATTCTTTCTGGACCTTCTAATGAATTGACAACTATTAATTTAGTTTAATGATCAGTGTTGACTATTAGATCTGAATCTAAATTATGGTCGGCGAAAATTCCAGAATAGGTCATTTTACTAAATAGTTTCTTACTTAACTTTGTTTAGTCTGATAGAAATATTATCTAAAACCTAACACACATTTAGATTAAAGTTGTACATTGCGTCGGTGCTATTTCAAGTTGATTATTTAATATAATACTTACAGAGATAGTTATTTTAACCTTAGTAGTTACAGTAAAGCCCGATGACCCAACTATAAATGGAAAGAAAGAAATTATAAACTAGTTTGTTAGATACTCCATCTAACAAACTAGTTTTATGACAAGGACTATGTTTCTGTATTAATTAACTTTATGTATATTGTCGAAATGTATAAAGAGCTTTATTATAGGTATTTCATAAGAGAGCCGTTTGAAGATAATGTAGTAGGAAACCATGGTAATGAAACTACACAAATCTTTTCTTGAGAACAAGTTTGGGTATCGTAGTAGGACCAAAGCAAGAGGAAGTTATAGAGATGTATTGCCACAGCTGAACTAAATGGTCTAAGATGATTTTAAAGTCTATTTTCGACCACCTATCAACCTCTGAATTGCATTCAAATCTTGCTTGTGTCCTATACGACGATACTCAAACAACATTCTAGAAAGGACGCGTCACGAGATCCAAGGACCACAGTTACTCTAAATGCGTCATCTGAACTTCGATTCAACAATAGCATTCCTACACAATTGCTATATGCATATGGACGAAATATGCCATCTTCAAGTATTTGATATTTAAACTTAAATTAACTATTGAAACGTGTACAAAATTAGTATGCAACATTATTTCCTTTGGTTAATTGACTATCCACTTTTAGTGCTTTGCTTTTCTCAGCATTATATTTTCTTTTTTTAATATTTCTGTATAAAGAAAATATTTCTGTTTTAGAAGTGAATTTGTTATTTCACAGAATTTACCTACATGATTACAAAATTGTTGTCAAATGCTTGGTTAAAACAAAATGTATCATCTGATTTGAAGAGACTTCTGAAACTGTCATTGAGATAACTGGGAATAAAACTGTTATTATCAATTTTTGTTATGTACCTCTATCTTTAATCTACAGTACATACAATTAATGACTTTTCTATAATATAAATTGCGCTGAATTTATTGCTAAGCGCAAATCTCGAGAGCAGCTGGGTTCGTTGTTATTTGAAAAAGGTTATTATGTAAGAAAAGAAATTAATACGAAAATAAGTTTCCAAGGCCTGATGCTGATAAGTATTTAGTAAACGTAGGGTTGGTTTTCACTGTTTCTCGTGACGCATCCTAAGCAGAAGGTTAGGAAAGGTACATAACATAGGAAAACATAATAATCCTAAATAACAAGATAGAAAAAATACAGGACTCTTCAATAAACGATAATATTTTACTCCATAAGCACCTACAATATAATTAAATATATCTAACATTGCATAATTATTTTAATACAGAATTACTAGTGGTTTTCGCTAGAGAACTTTTAATTCTTTTATTTAATTTTTTGAAGGGAAATGCTCTCTATCAAAAACCACTAGAGAATAATTTACACAGAATAATTGTATAATAAAATATTTGTAATAATTATTTTTATTAATTTTTCGAAATAAATAAGAGATCTGTTCTAAGCTATGCAAGACTGCAACGCCTGACTATAAATAGAATTCTGATATTAAATTAGATTTTCTGTAATATTTAGAATATTTATTGAAGAGGTAGATCCGAAGATTACATTTTAAAATATATTATTACATTTTTTAATAATTACGTATTCATTAAAATCCTTAATGGATATTTCATAAGAGATATTAAAATCGAAGCGTAATCATGTTGAAATTTCATAAGTAGGTACAATATTTTACAACTGTTTCAAGTAAATTACAATAATTATTTTGAGTAATAATTATTTATTGTAATTTAAATCAAAAGTTGATTAAATATTTCAACCATAGGGTCGCTAATCTACTTAAATTAAGAGTAGATAACAAAAATATGAATAACAAGGAAGACGATTATAAACTAAATAAATAAATATGTCTATTCTACACAAACCATGATTCAAATCTTAAATTAGATAATGTGACAGCCTTTAGTGATAATACTTTTAAAAATTGTGCATATAAAGGTAAGTGGAAATTCACCAAAATATTTTTTTATTAATTTTAAAAATCTATTTAAAACAGCCAATAATTTTATATACTTTATAATATTAATAATAATAACAGTACTTTATACTCTATAGATACAGATTATATTATCCTAAAATTTGCCACAATCAAGCGAATACACACTTTAAGATATAAGTAATTCGCGATGTTAAATCCTTAAAGTAACATTCTTAAAATTGTGAAAACAGCATTGCATAAGATGAGAACAATACCAGTAGACGACAATAATCAATCACATCTTGATTAGACAATACATTAAAATCTATTATAACACTAACATTAAATGACATAGAAAAGGACGTAGAAAAGACTTACAGACAGTATCTCACTTGAAATCACGTTAAGTTACGTCAGACATCATGAAGAATCTCATCATTCTTAAAATCCCAGGAAAGAACAATTATGTCAACATCAAATTAGTACCTACTAGAATACAAGATCATAATACTGTCGAAAATGATATCCATTTACTATAACATTTATTTTATAGACTAACAAGTATTTCAAATTCATTTCTAAATCGTCTTCAGTAACACATATTTCTCCATCTTTAAACATATATTTCTTATATTCTCCACATTAATTCAATTGACTATTCCATTAATACTTTATAACAGAAACATTTGAATATTACTTATTTTAGGGTGGGCCCATTACAAGCCCTTGTGGTACACCTAGGGTAACATACATTATAACTAACAAGCATGGTAGAATAACAAGGGAAATATTTAAGACGATCGTGTAAAAGCAGTCGAAATGACAATAACAACCATAAGTAACATGTAACAACCACTTCCATACAGTTTCATAATGATAATCATTATAAGATGCTTCGGCTAAATCTCACAATACAGTCACAATCCTCGATAAACATTTTAGATCTTTAAAATAATTATTACCATTCACTCCGGAATGTAGCGATAGGATATGTATTAGGAAAACGAGACCCCCATAATACTAATCAAAATATGTAATTAAGAAGGATGACAAGACAATTAGTGGTTCTCTCCAGTAAGTGACATTTTTTGGGATGGTTGAAAGTAAGGAAAATTTAGGCCAACCTTATGTAGGTTCCAAGTTCAAGTACCTTCGTTCAAAATATTTTGTTCTACGACGATTTATGCTGCGTCTAAGAGATTTTATACATTTTATTAAGGAATTGTTAGGGGTCATCATATCTTTGGGTACTCTCACAGGGGTACATCAATATTATTCTACGCTACCTAGGAAACTATTTACAAAAGCTCTCATTTCTATGTTATTGTATAGTATAACTAGTTTTAATTTCTAATATTGATGCCGAACTTATTGATATAGTTTCATTTTTCATCGTCATGACAATTTAGATTTAGACGAATCATTTCATTGGATCGTCTGACCTTTGTCTGAGAATATATTTTCTTAGTCAACATGTTTCACAACATTTTAATAATATTTGTATTATTTCAAGTAGAGAATTACTCTTTTTATAATCCGTATTAGTTTATTAAGACTAAGCATGTCCGGCTAATGTGTTTGCCATTACGGCTTCATCTGGCAATTTCATTTCATATTGTGTGAATTTAGTCAGATATTCTCCGTGATATGTTTGTGCTTACTATATCAATACTTACCTAATTGACAAAATCATGAATATCATACAAAAATATAGAACCATTGCAGGCATTTTAATTTTTTTCATTCATCTTTTAGCAAATCGTCTTCCACAAAGTTAGAGAAGGCTTAATTTTTTTTGTTACTTTATCTTATTTTAGTACTAAAATATGTTCATTTATATATTTTCTTTATTTTTGAAGGTACGTTTTTTTTAGAATTGAGTTTCATTGCAGTTTAGTGTAGTTTGATACAGCTTTAAAGCTAGCAGAAGCGTGTTTAGCATTAGCAGAATATATAATTCGTCAATCACTATTGTTCACAAACTATTGAAGGAATTTATTCGGTATAAGAAGCTAAACTTAGTTATGACTTCTAAAAAATATAACTATGTACTAAGATAAACTAAAGTCTACACAAGTTATACTAGTACATATAGTAAATCTAAACTTTGATTCATTTCATGATATGCTGCCTAATCTGTAAGACTGTTCCATTAGATGGATTATATTGCTCATTGGTTGGTAAAGTTACAATTTATCCCTGATACATGAATAGTATGGCTTCGATGACACCAAAAGCCTTCATCTGTATTACTATGATACAATCAAAAACTGTTGTACAACTAATTCTATGAGAATTAAAGATACCACTCGCAACACAGCTTACGTTAAGAACTTAACTACGAAAGTTAATAAGCATTGTTCTCGCAAATCACTTGAAACTAGACACATAGGAGTGAAAGTATATAACGTACGTAATGTAGGTGTAGCAGAAGCTTGCGTGCGACTCCCCCGGTCCGCTTAGCGGTCGTTGCGCAGCGGCGCCAGCGCGGCCAGGGAGGCGCGGCGCCGGCGCTAGGAGCCCGGCGACGCGCCCGCTGGCAGCCCCGCGCCCGACCCGCGCGACACGCGCGGCTCCAGCTCCAAGCTCAGCGTGTACTGCCGCTCCTCAGGGATCACCAGCGAGTTGTCCAGTAGGAAGTCACATACCTGATACGCAAAAGTATTCTTTGTCGAAATGGAGTTTCTAAGGGGTAATTCTTGGTCCAACGTAATTTTCTTTTCTTTTAAAATTATAATTATAATAAGTATATTATTCGTCGATAGAAGATGTAATTTATAAAAGTCAAATCTAATTTATACTTACTTTTGGTATGTGATCAATCTTGTACGGGGTTTGCTGAAAGTTTCGTATTTCTCGGATCACGTGTGCTATCTGCAATTATTTATGTCAATCAATAGTCTGTTTGCTTTAAAGCTTCAAATCTATTTGTAACCTTCACTTACCATTCTCATCTTGGAGAAGTTCAGTAGTCCATCAGGTGTGTAGTTCGTGGTTCCTTCTTCGATGAAGGACAAATCGGAGAGATACATTCCCAAGTATGGAATGCAAGGAGGATCACATCTGTGAAGCGCATAATTATATTCGTGAGATTAAAAAAGTATCGTGGATTGTTTGTACCCATTTATTATTTCGCTCTAACGAGATAAATTGGTAGGCTTTTGGAAACCACCATGTGCGAAATGGAATTATTTATATTACCTGTGCAAAGCGTCTCGTAAAATCCTAAATCGGCATTCCGAAGATATAATAGTCTGCATGCGTTCTATAGTTTGTTTACTCTGAAAAAAGCGAATTATTTTATGTGTACAAAAATAAGAAATCTTCTTATTTAAAAAAAAAATACGGTAGAATTTTGAATATTGACAGTCTACTCTAATAAAAACACTTATCTCATCGTCATTACCTAATCTACGAATGATACTCACAGTCTTGGAGACTTTCTCCCAAGTCTTCTTCAGTCTGTAGACCGAGGTGTTGGACAGAGCTGCGCATACTTGCAGCACTCCATTAAAGTTGTGCAGACAACGAGCTATATCTGCTACTGCTGCCCATTTCTCTATAGCTGCTACACGACCTACAAACGAAATTACATAATTTTATTCAAATATCTTTCTCAATCAAGATTTGTCAACATCATCATGTTCTACCTATTAATATCAAGGAATTCATTTAATCCTTGATATTAAACTTCGACTGCGTCGTTGGCCGAGTGCGACTGCCGGGCAAGGGGTCTCGGGTTCGATTCCCGTGTCGGGCAAATACTACTGAATTTAAAAAAAATCTCAGTGTATGGAATTGTACCCGGTATATGGCAATAGGCTCACCCCCTATTAGATGGGACTCATAACATAAATAGTGAAATGTGGGTGTTACATTGTGCAGTGGCATTAAGTGCCGTAATGTGCACCTCTGCCTACCCCTTCGAGGAAGGCGTGATGTTATGTTATGTTTTAATCCTTTCAAGTCTAGTTTAAATATTTGATTGAGTGTTCGATTAATATTTTTGAAACGTCTCCCAAAAATCTTAAATATCATATCAGCTCCATTTGAAATCCACTTTTATTGATGTGTAATTATCGGTAGACGGTCAACAACATCCTTCTAAAGAAGAAACTAATAATAATCGCTTGACCAGCTTATTCTTACCAGCTAAAGTATACTTCTTTAGAATTTCAGAGATGACCAAGTTGGAGATGTGATTGAAATGTGACGTCATCATGAGGATATGAGGTGCCCTTTCGGCTTTGTCTGCTTTCGTCCAAGCTTGTCCTAAGAACTCCCTGAAAGAGGACAAAATATGTGAAGTATTTTAAAACTTAATATAATTTTAATGCTTCTTTTCCAAGGTTGAATGGTTGAATGTCATTTGACTTACTCGCTGTTAATCGAACTAAAGATTTGGTAGTCCAAATACGTCATTTGTTCTGCTATTTCCAGGGCAGATAGCGTCTCTACGCTCTCTTTTGTTGGCACCTGAAAATATGTATTATTAAAAATTTCCACTGTTATCCATTGTAGAAGAGAAACCTAAAGGTTTATTAAACCTATGTACTTACGTGAGGTGGTATAAACAGCGCCTTCAAATCCACTGTTCTTTCTGGAGCTCTTTCTAAAAGCCGCAACAGCTGAGCTGCAGCCTTATGTTCAGCCGGTAATAATCCAGGGCTACTTTCAATTTCTTTCAGGAAATCCATTGTCAGACCCCGAAGACGCTCATCAGACCAGAAATCGTGAGAATGCTTAGAAATCCAGTGCCTACAAAAATAATTAGAATGAAAAATCATGGTAAATGAAAACCCGACGTAAGTAAAAAATAACTTGATATTGTAAGTTTAATTTCAAGCAATGCTTATCTTAATGTACCTCAAAACGTTCAGGACTCTCATGGTCGCAGCAGTAGATATAACAGAGTCCCTTCTGGTAGCTGGTGGTGAATTGGGTGGTGGAGATCTTGGGTTAGACGAAGCTGATGTAGCTACAGCAAAAGCCACCGCTGCAGTAGACGTGCTACTCCTAAACCATGGAGACAAATTAAAATACGAAACATTTGATGATACATTTTTAGTAAGTTTGTGTTGTGACATATTCTCCCAAAGGTGTTTTGACAAAGGTTCATGTGGACTGTCCATGAGATTATGAAAGAGTGGAGTTAATGGTCAAGAATATAAAAGAACATAGAACAGTATACGTACACATGCAGAGTTAGAGTTCGGAAAACAGGCAGAAAGACAGGGAGGTGAATGAGACAGAAAGAAATCAGAAAGAAGAAATATTCTGAGTCCTCACAGAATTATGTTTCGCCTATTCCCCGTTTCCAATTAATTTCCAATTACAAATAAAAAACATGCAAATTTTGACACTCTATTAAAAAATTTAGAAAAATAAAACTAATAATTAATCGAAACACTAGTTTCCAATTCAACTTCTATTCCAAAATTACTTAACAACAAATATAAAACAAAAGTGCATTTTATTATCTTAATCAAAAACCGAGGTGGTTGAAAATGTTCATTTTAATAAAGATAAAATTTCGAATAAAATCTAGTTCTAATATTCATAAGCAAAATCTGTAAAAAAATACTAATTATTTTGTATTTTTGTGTGATATTTTTTGTGAAGAAGAAATGAGAGTAGTAGATGTTGATATGAGAAGTGACAGCGAAGAGAGCATAGGCAGGGATGGTGAATAACGTCAGGTTTATGTGGAATTCAGACATAAAAAATGACTCTTCAAAAATATATGCAACGTAGTATTCAGTCAATACTGTATTGTACAGTATAGATATCCTGAAAATGGTAACGATCAAAATACAAGGCAGGTTTGTATGTAAAATTACCTTCTCGCACTTTTCGTAAACGGTGATCAGTGCAGCTCTAATCGCATTATAAGATAGTCAATAACGTCAGATAGATATGTTTTCTCTGTTGAGTTTTCACGATTACAGTAGTGTTCTGCTGTAGTGTCATGTCTACTTACAATAGGGTTTACAAAATTTATAAAAAAGGGCAAGGAAACGTCAGAATGCTAGGTAAAGCGGAATTATTAAAAATCTTCTACAGCATCTCTACTAGGTTCGGTCTCTACATCTTTTACCTGTACCATTCACTCACCACAACAGGTCTTTTCCAAAGCTGTTAAATCAATATTAATAGTTACATTATCATTTTTAAAGTCATCAAGTATGAAGGTACTATTACGAGGCTAGAGACTCTCGATAGAATGTCGTGCAGAAGCATCAAAATGTTAATAAGATTAACAAAGAATTTTAGATTGTTAAGAAAAAGGTGAATAGCATGCCACAACATTGAGAATCGTGAGCTCCCTTGTGTGCTAGATGATCAATAATCAAGTTAGTTCGCAGTCCTTCAAATTACGGATATAAATTATGTTATGAATAAAATCTAGCTTGGTATTAACCACCGCAGTGTTTGTCTTACCTCCGATGAGATTGCCTGAACGATGTGATCACAACGCCCGCTTTCGGTTGGCTCGTCTCGCGTCGATAATTCTGGATTGAAATTCCCAAATTAAAATACCCATCACCATTAAAATATTTGGCCCCAAAAGCCACTAAATAGGACGTACATATGTTAGGTTTTAGTGACATGTCAGTACGAGTCCATATAACTTACCTGTGCATGGGACACTTGAGAAGTGACGGAGGATCTTGGCTCGGAACCACCCCAATACCTGCGGCGCTCGCTGTTGATCGATGAGTTGGTGTACCGGCGCTCGCTAGTGAAATTAATGTTGTACATTACAAATACCACTTGAAAACGTATGAAATATTATTACAGTAAAGATGCTAACAGGTAGTGTTAAAGGGGTCCAATTCAAACTAATGACTTGCATTACAGATTTTACAACTTTGTGAAGAATTTCACTCCTTGATTTGCCTTACCTCACAGATCTTCTAGCAGCAAATCTAGTGCCAGAATCAGATGCCCTCCTCGGTTCTTCTGCAGTAGCAGCCTCGGCAGTCTCCCTGGCGCTGTCCGACCTGCGCCTAGCTTCGGAAGCTGCCGAAGACGGCTGCAGACGTCGAGGGGACTCCGACATGGTACGCACACGCTGTTGGATAAACTGTTTAACTCGTTGTGTTTCTGTCTTTTAATACTTCAACAAGCAATAATGGTAGAGATGAAGTGGTAAAGATTATAAATGTTTTGAGAGTAGTGGAAAATTTTAATGCAAAAATAGATATATTTGTTGTAGATAGTAAAATTAAAATACCAAGCAATAATATTGTGTATATTGTTGTAACCGTCGACTGTGCGTTAATTTATTATGATAGATAATTTTCTGATATATTGAATTTACTAATTGTTAGAAACTGTGCTTCAATTATAGATATTCATTTCGTTTCAATTAAAAGAGTAAATCGGGTGTCTGCGAATCGGCTTCAACTTGCACATATTTAATGACCTAAAAATCTGATCTAATCCCATGATTGGAACATGTCGCGTTTTGAAATGTTGAAACCACACAGGGGTAGAAAAGGACAGCACTGGATCATGCATAATCAAAGAAGCAATAATAACAGACATACCAAAAATCCTTTATACCGTAAAATACACAAATATAGGTTAGGTATATCCTGAAGTTCCTGATAAGTTAATCTTGAAGAAACAAAGTTGATAGAAAGAGATTGTACAGAAAATAGCTGAAATGTCTAATCAGTCAAAGCTATAGTTTGAAGTTGATGAAACTTTAAAATTGAGTTTACCTCTGAGAATCTTTGTGATATTTTAAACTTATCATCTGGTTTCTTTTTATTCTTCTCTTGTTCTTCCTCTTTATATTTTACATCTTCATCACTTTGGTCTACCATTTCTATGCTCTCATCTTTCATGAGCGCTGCAGCTGCATCATTGTCTTTGGGAGCTGGTTTCTTCTTAGGAGTCGGTTCTTGGACGGGACTGGCCTTCTTTGGACTTCCTACTAAGGTGACTGAGCTTATCGCACCTGGTGAAGATGGTGAGGTACCTATAAAAGAAGATTTTTTTAAGCATAGGTTCTGAACTGGTGATAAACTTTGGTTAATATACAGATGAATTTTTATTCTTCAGCTGGCAAAAATTGGTCGTGTGCTTATTTTAATCCTCTTTATCCTTAATATCAGATCTGTTGACTTACTGTTCTTTGGTTAATAATGACATAGAGTATTCACTATTTCTATGAATAATAACTACTTACTCAGTAAAACGGTATGTACCTTTACCTTTCAACGTCTCATTACTTGACGACGTGGCCATTATCTTTGGTATCGTCAAATGACTGTTATCCTCCTCAGTCTTAGGTAAGCGTGTGTACAGAAATTGATAAATCAAAATAATAGTCTATTCAACATGAAATAGAGCTTGAATTACAACTACAGTTACTGATTTGTCAATCTAGTGCGTACGTCGCTCAATTATGAACTTTCGCATTATTAGATTTTAGGCTTAAATTACCTTACTAGCCGTAGAAGTTCTTCGTGATGGAGCCGTCAAATAAGGAGACAGCTTATCTTCATCTTCACCTAAAATTCGACAGACTTTGTTACATAGAATCACGTTTATAATCCTCTAATCTCAAAGCAATAGTTTCTACAGTACCAACAGATTTACTTCAAACTTACTTTTTCTCGAAGCGCGCCAAAATCTGGACTGCCAGTCCCGGTCGCTGTATTCCGACCCGTACCCTGAAATAGATTGCGCTTTTTTTTCTGTCAGATTTAGTAACAGCCTGCCATTTATATTCAATCTTTTCTTTTAAGTATTTTGAAAAATTATTCGCAAGAGGATTTTTGGGTTTAGGAACATTTAAGGTGATCTCTAAATATCTTTATATTCTTACCAGAAACAGAGCTTGCGGCGCTGGTCTTCCTTGTTGCGTCTGGTGGTGGCGCCAGTTCCATCTCCTGCTGTGACTGTTCGTAGAAGACTTGCTTCAGAGCCTCCAATACAGTTACACCATCGGTGAAGACGCGGTACGTCAGCAGGAACGTGTTCAAGAAATCCACCGATAGGAAACGAAGATCTGAAATGTATTAATCAAAACTAATGATGGCTTTTTCGGTTGTTTGCGAACTATAAACCTAAAAACAAGGAACCTAATGGTCTACTTCATATTTTGATACAAAGATTGGGCCATGTGCATACAAAGATTCCATCAACGCTCACCTGTAAGCCTCTGCAGCAACCGCTGTGGCGTGGCAGATCTGATCTGCGGCACCTTGCAGGAGTTGAGGGTCCTGCTGAACCGAATGTCGACATCGTCCGTGAACAGCGCGCGGTCCGAGCGGCAGGCAGGCAGGCTGGCCGACGCGGCCCCGCACGCGCCGCAAGCTCGGAGCAATTCCGTGAGGGCTGCGCTCTCCATGCACTGCGCTAGCTCGCTTGTCCAACCTGCTTTCTCCTCCACGCTCCCAGCAACTAGGGAATGTAGGAAAACGTGAGTAAATAATATGATAACTGGAGACTTTTCAGTTTAATTATAAAATAATGGTTGATCTTACCCAAATGAGCACAAATCTGTTCTCCTTTGACTTCGACCAGAATCTTGAAGTCTTTGCCCTGGTAGATGTCACCACCAGGCGAAGAACACACGGACGTCGTGTCTGTAAATGTGTCAGGTATACATTATTTGTTTTCTTTTTTTAAAGCGATTTTTGAAACTTTGCAGGTGACGAAAATTTCAGTCAATTGTAGTTGACTGAATATTTCTATTATAGTCTAATAATTTTAGTACATATCTCTGATATCATAGACACCGTATCATCTATCATCTATCATAGACACCGTAGGTTTTGACGTGACAACGTCTTATAAATTGGTTTGCCGGGTGACACTTCAAGAAACTGCGCTACGCTCCGCTCACGTTATGCGCTCACAATGAGAGCGAGTGAGAGGCACGCGTCCCTTCCACTCGGGCATGGTTAGCCCGCCTAAGAGCGAGAGAGACAGACATAAAAAGTGAAAGGCACGCGTCTCTTCCACTCGAGCACCGTTAGCCCGCCTAAGAGCGAGAGAGAGAGAGTGAGAGAGATAGGCATACACACCGGTTCATGTCTTGCTTCTTTGTATAAATTAATGTTTTAAATATAATTCTTTGTACAAATAAATGTTTTAAATTGTTACTATTATTTCATCCTTCTTCTTACTATACGAATGAATATTCACATTAAAATTATTTTACCACTCAAAGTCGTTGTCAAACTTTCGCCCGTATACCGACTTTACAGGCAACCAATTTTTTTTTTTAGTGTCATAGGAGGCAAACGAGCACACGGAGCACCTGATGGTAAGCGATCGGCGCCGCTCATGGACACCCGCAACACCAGAGGAATCACAGGTGCGTTGCCGTCATTTTAAAAAGGACTATGCTCTTTTCTTGAAGGTTTGAAGGTATAATAAGAGCAAAACACACATACACATTCTCAATATAACACTGCGGGGTGAGAGTTCGTACCATCATCATCATGATTAGCGGGGTCCTCAATGAGCAGCGCGTCGTGCAGCGGCAGGCGCGCGGCGGGCGGCAGGTGCAGGCGGCCGCCCGCCGCGCGCGTCGTCAGCAGCAGGTGGTTGCTGAACAGGAACGCCTGCCGCGCCTGCAGCGTGGCGCGCCGCCCCTTGCCCACTACCTGGGATAGGGTTCCTAGGGATGAGAAGAAACTATTAAGCCAATGTAGTTCTTTGTATTCCTTGAAATATGAATGAAGCTTTGAAAGAAACATTCTTATTTGGCCGCTCAACTAGTGAGTGTGGCTGACAAGCAAGAGAGTTTGATTGCCTGGTTGTATAATATTTCGGTACCACTGATCCACTCTCGAAATCCTCAATTGAGCTTATAATGAACTGAAGCCTACTCTGCATCACATTTAAACAATAATAGTAAAAATAATCAGGATACATATTGTATTAGTAAGAGTATACATAAAACATACCTTGGCGTATGAAGACTTGATTGACATCGAGTAGAATGTCACAGCCTTCGATGATCATGCGCTCCACGGCCAAGTTCTTGCGCAAGTTCTCAGTTTCACTGACCTAGAATGAAACAGAGTTGAGTAAGTATGAACTGCGCCTACTGTAGCGAGCCCGGTGGAGCCGTACCTCGTCGTGCATCTGGCGCGAGAGTTCCTCGAGCTGCGCGCGCGCGTGCTGCAGACTGCGGCGCTCCACGTGGTCGTGCGGCGTGTGCGCCAGCAGCTCGTGCAGCGTTATTATGTAGCGCGGGATCTGGGACCGTCACACAGTACGTTGGAGTACACGGGGTTGTGAATATTGAAGTAATCTATAGTAACTACAATTATTGTTAATGTAACGGTTAAAAGCTGGCCTCAAGTAACAAAATATTATTTTAACATTCCAGAAATGTTGAACGCGTCTCAAAATTCATACTACGTTCCCATTATTTTCTTCTGAGTAATGTAAATGACTCCAACTACAACCATAGTCATTAATTTTCTTCCAAATACATCCCATGAATAACAATTAACCCATTTAATTAGGGAGCTTCTCCGCAAAAAACAGTGACAAAGCATCAATTTGATCACACCATTCGTCAACAAAGTTAATTTGACAGAGGTTTTAAGCCGACAAATGTCTGCAACAACATTGTCTTATAAAAGTCCCCAAAAACCTGAACCAACAGCAGTTTTCTAAACGCCATTAACCCTTTGAGTACCGTCATTATAGACACAATTAAAGAACAATAGATTGCGGTCACCGGTGTCCTCGTGTTTGACAGTTTAAACGTACCTGATGCATCGGATAAGTCAAAAACGTCTCCAGCGACCGGCTTTGACAAGCAGGTTTGCTTTCCAGCCTCGCCAGGAGTTGTGCAAATGGCTGACTCTGCTTGCACTCCGTCAGGACTTGGAGGGAGTAGTGGTGGTTCCTCACGTACTCCTGGTAGATGGTCAGCATCGGGAGGAGCATGTCGAATAGGTCTCCTGTATGTAGGTGCACTACTAAGTGTAATCCTTTGTTTACTTTGAGTGTTCAAAGGTATCTTATAGCTAGGGTTAATGAATTATGGTTAGATAATTAATTAGATTCGATTAGTATCTTATAAAAACTTAGAATAACTAATATGTAAATTCCCGGGTCAGGCAAAGTATTACTAGGCTTAAAAAAGTCTCAGTAGTAACACGAAGTCTGGAATTATGTCCGATATATGTCAATAGGCTCAACCCCTACTACATGGGACTAATAACATAAATAGTGAAAAGTGGGTGTTACATTGTATGTATGTACATTGGCCGTAATGTCCACCTCTGCTAACCCCTTCGGGTATAAAAGGCGTGATGCTATATAATCATTCACTGGTTCCTCAAGTTGACAGGTAGATAGGTATGCCGATTTTGGGAATTGTTAATCATTATTATCATTATCAACAGCCTATAAAAGCGCAGTGCTGAGCAAAGCCTCTTCTCACACGGAGAAGGTTTGAGCATTAATCGCTACGCTTACTCAATGCGGGTTGGATTTCAAACGTATAATTAGAAATAATGAGCCCAGGTTTTCTCATGATGTTTGTCTTGACCGTTTGTCAGTGGTGTCTAAATAATCTTAGAAAGTACATATAACTCGGAAAAAGTTACATTGGTACTTGCCGTTGGTTATTTTTGAACATGCATGGGAAGCGGGCGTCTTAAACCTTCGGGCCACCATGACTTATTCTTATATAACACAGAATCTGTGTTGTTAATGGCCAAGGCTTAAAGATAGGCTTGTCTTTGATAGACTGACGGAAACTCATAACTATAACATAACTGGCAAACAATTGATGGCTGATGCATTTTTCAATTAAGTAGTAGTTACAAAAAGAACAAACATAATTATTATGAATTTCAACCTTACTGCTAAACATAAGAGTTCCTTTTCGATTTCGAAAATCGCAGTAGAAACATAACATCTGGACTTCAATGAAGAACTCAAAACATAGCTATTTAAAATATTAACAGTATCTCATTATAATGATGGCTTCGATTTTATTTTATGTTCTGACTAGCTTCTGCCCGCGACTTCGTACGCGTAATCCCATTTTTTCCCGTCCCCGTTCGTGATTTTCGGCAAAAGTAAAAAAAAGTATTGGTTTAAATCCTATGTCGGTCTCCTGGCTCTAAGCTACCTCCCTACCAATTTTCAGCCAAATCTATTCTGCCGTTCTTGAGTTATAAGTGGTGTAACTAACACGACTTTCTTTTATATATATAGATTAAATGAATGAAAGTTCACTACAAAATAATTTTATGTAAAACTCACCTAAGACCAACGTGGGCCAGGATTCCATCCTCGAGGTGAGACCTTTGAAGAATATCTGGTGAAGGAACAGCACTGTCTCGCTGTTCAAGAAGATGGAGTTCACGTCCTCGTGGGTGCAGGGCGGCTTCTTGGAGCTGGCCGCCATTTTGAAGGGTCGTAGGAAACAGGTTACCTGGGACAAGATTAAACTTTTAACCAATCTCCAATAACAATGATGTTTTCAATATTGTACAGTTGGTTTGTCAGGTCTTAAAGACTGGTTTGAAGACGGAATGGTTGGAAGTGTAGCCACTAGCACCATGAGTATCCATGAGAAAGAAAGAAAACAGGACGAGTTGTCGATCACGAAAATCTCAGCAAACGCAGAGTAAAATTACAAACAAAAAAAACATATCTTAAGACTTCTAACTATCACTCAGACAAACACCAATAAAAAAAAATCAAAGCTTACCAATATCTCCATTTGCTCAAGATATTCCTCTTCAGCCTCCACCATCTTGAAGACCAGGCTGTTCCGTTTGCGCATGCTCTCAGCATGAGGACTCTTGATGTACTCGTCTACGATCTGCTTCCAGCGACGACGGCATAGCCAACCGCGGAAGAAGCTCTATTTGAATAGAAAAAATATAATAAAAACTTCATCAGATTTTCTTAAGACCTTCGAGAAGACAGAGGTGAACAAAGGTCAACTTGGAAAGAGAGTGGATAATTTAAACACTGTACTGATATACTAATCGCGTATAATATAACAATTACAGTGCTTGCTGCTCGCACCATAGGAAACATTTTCTCGTACGCTATATAAATCCCGGTATCGAAACCATAGCGCCATCTAACTCGATCCCAACGCCATCTATCGAGTGCTGGGACAACTCGTGTTAATTATGATTTATTTTTTAATAAAATGTTGATAGCGCTATGATCCCGTTACCGCTCCGAATAGAGGTATGACAAAATGACTGTTTGAAGAATGATAAGGTACAGCTGCATCAGTAGATTAATATAGAGTTATCCATTAGTGGGATCTTCACTTACAACTTAAGTGCCACGAACACTTACCTGAACTTTCTTAATCTTCCTTAGCTCGGCTGGATCAATTTCTGGTGAATGGCTGGGTGAAGAGCTGGAGGTGGAAGCTGCGCGGGTTGCCGGCTCATGTTCCTTCTTGTATGTACACAACTGTGGTAAAGAGCCAAAAACATAGAGATATTATGTGACTTTATGTTGCTTAACTTTACGTTATGTTACACTACACTATTCTACGTTATATTACGTTACATTCGGTTACGTTAATTTACGTTACACCAGGTACGCCACGCGTCACGTTCTACACTGCGCAATCCTACATAGTGTATTTACGTTACAATTGAAAATGTATGTAATTAGTTCGTCAGTTGGATAATGAAAAAATATACGTCTAATATTTTTTTTATTTTGTCGTATAAGAAAACAATACTTAGATAAAACGGAGTTAAATTTAGGAGTGTGAGGTCGGTACGTCACTCTACCCTATAAAATGTAGTAAATAGTAACGTCCCACGATATTTCAAATCAATATATCGTCGAAAATATTTAATTTTGTAAGAAAAAAGAAATTACGTGTCTAACGTTTTATAATTATCTACCAGATGGATATTAAAATAATATTTAGGTTACTATTTTATACGCTATATGTTACATAATGTTACGTTACACTACGATACGATGCGTTACATTAAATTAAATCACGTTACACTATGACCTGTTCCACTCACCTCAGTCCTCAGTTTCTTGACCTCGCTAGCAAGCTCGTCACACTGCTGTGCGTACTGCCACCTCGATGTCCTCTCACTTTCCACCACCTGCAGGAGGTGCAGCTGCTTCTGTTCCAACTCCTCTTTTTGCAGGAGTAGTTTGTTAAAACTGTGGACAAAAAAAGGTTTTCACTATACATATATTATGTAGACACCCGACCTAGATGTGTTTAATAAATCTGTGAAGAAAAAAAAAGAGTAATGAATGGAGTTTCTTGCGCGTTCTTCTCCATTCGAATCTACATTTGGGAATGAGCACCTAGCTTCACCTAGCTTCACTGACGGACTGATTGACAGACTATTATTTATTTTGTATTTGTTAACGTTTCGAAAGTACCAAATTATGGTTTAATTGAAATAAATGCTTTGACTTTGACTTTGACTCTGTAGGAAAATATTTTTGTCACATTTAAAACATGTAGCAATATTTTTCCTATTAAATAAAAAACCTTTACAAAAATACAGTTTATTACCTCCAATGAATTTAAATAAACAGAAATAAATCTTTAACAAATAATAAAATAAAATAAAACCTGACAAATTCCAGCTTGAAACTATAATATTAATAATATTGCTCTACTCTGGAATATCGGTATCGGAATTTAAAAATATTCCCAATGTGGCGATAAATTTAAAATTACATAGCGCGCACCGTACACTCGACCGAAGAGTGGCAATTTCACATTCCATTTCACGACATCTACATAATACATGTACATATACACGTCGCGTTTTATTCCCTAAAGGGGTTGTTATATACCCTATCTAATTTATCTATGCTTACAGTAAGTTTTTTTTTTATGGGATAAGCCGGTAAACGAGCAGGTGGATCACCTGATGGTAAGCAATCAGCGCCGCCCATGGACACCTGGAACACCAGAGGCGTTACAAGTGCGTTACCGGCCTTTTGGGATTAGCAATTTGAGGATTGTTGGGGATTCAGGGATTGGGGAAAGGGAGGGGGGGGGTATTTGTGCATCCGGTAACCTCACTCACACGACGAAACACAACACAACGTTGTTTCACGTCGGTCTTCTGTGAGGCCGTGGTATTACTCCGGTCGAACCGGCCCATTCATGCCGAAGCATGGCTCTCCCACACTTAAGGATATATCCACCATGGTATTAGATATTGTAGTTCGTGGATTTCTGTGTAATTGCTGTATATTACAGATGCTATCAGATTTCATAATACACGGTGTCAACGGATCCTTATTGTTATGAAAATAGAAAACAAGTTTTATTTTCATAACAATAAGGTATTAAATGTTTCTGTTATGTGATAATAATTGTATTCAACTGCTCAAGGGTGATGTTGCATGAATAACATGAAAACGAAAAAATGATTAAAATTTGCAAAAAAAAAATATATTAGCGTTTCGAGAGCGATCTGTTTCCAACCTGCAGCTGTAGCCAAATGCCATTTACCACTTGTCTACATGTAGAATAGAAAACCAAGTTATATGGAATTGACGTAAATTTTGACACTTGTGAGTGTCACCCCATACATTTTTTTTTTATTTATTTATTTATATCAGGCAACGAAGGCCCATATTAAAATACAATAATAATATCTACTACAATTTTAACTTAATTTTACAACAATAATTACTTACATTATGTATTTATAGTGTTAGTTTTCTATCCTCTCTGTAGACAAGCGCTAAAGTCACGTAATTGGCTAAAGGTACTGTATAGACAATTTAGAGGGTATATAAAAACTTCTGCAAGTTCAAGCCTCTAATATGACCAATTTTCATAAGAATTAGTTTCAAATGATTTATTTTATTTATTTCTTCCTGTAGGAAAGACTGTCTCGGCTCAAGCTGTAAATTAAGTCATGGCATTCTATTCAAATAGAAAATTCTAACTTAAAGACCATTAAAAATAGCCATAAATAAAGACTCATAAAAATCATATAAATTCATTTATCATTGTGTCGGGCTTGGTATCCGGCGATCGTCCGGAAAACCGGTTCGCAAATGGGTAGCGAATGTAAAATTTGAAGTAACATCGCGCTGCGCTGTACGGTTAATTCGGTTTCTAGAATATTGGGTTACGGCGATGAAGGTTGCATTTTTAAAAATATGTCGACTTTAATCGAAACTGATTTTCAAAGTGAATCCTTACTAATATCCTTACTAATATTATAAATTGGAAAGTGAGTTTGTTTGTTTGTTTCACTTTCACGCCGTAACTACTAAACCGATTGCTTTGAATTTTTGCAGACGTAAAGTTAGAAGTCTGGATTAAATAATAGGGTACTCTTTATCCCGGAGAAATTTGATATTCCCGAGGGAAAACAAAAGTATTGGTATAGATGGCGCTGTGTGTATTGGTATATGTCACATAGGCTACTTTTAATCCTTTTGTGACGCGAGCGAAGCCGCGGGTAAAAGCTAGTATTTGATATTGGTTAGTGACGGTACGTATTTATTACCAAATGATTCTGTGAAGGATAGTTGACAAAAACCTGTAGCAATTATGCACATAACTTGAGCGTTTAATTGTTGGTTATTAAGATTTGTTATAAGATTTGTTGTAACTACCTACTAACAAAATTGCCGTGACTGTGGACTCTGTAGAATGAAATAAATGATTTTTTTATTTATTATTTATTCAAAGCTCACTTTCTCGTCGGACTCATGGCCATGAAGCACTTCTTTGTGCTTTTATTGTTGTTAAATTTTGTACACACAGCACAGTTGGTAGTTAATGGGGAATAGTAAAATGTCGCCAATTTTGTAAAATCTCCTCTGTCTCGTTAATTAATCTTCATCATCAACAGCCTGTTTTCGTCCACTGCTGGACATACGCATCCAACCACTACCAGCCACTTTACGTATATTATCAATCCACCTAGCTGGAGGGGCGGAGGGCGCCCTACACTACGTTTGCCTAGACGCGGACTCCACTCCAGAACACGTCTACCCCAGCGGTCATCGGTTCTTCGACAAATGTGACCGGCCCACTGCCATTTCAGCTTGCTAATCGTTTGGGCTACATCGGTAACTTTAGTTCTCTGTCGGATCACCTCGTTGTGGATCCTATCCTTCAGAGATACTCCGAGCATAGCCCTCTCCATAGCTCGCTGCGCCATCTTAAATCGGTGGACCAGTCGCACTGTTAGGGTCCGCGTTTCTTCTTCACGTCGAATCTTATCAAATAACAAACCCTCAAGTAGGGGAAGTGGGAGGCCTAATGCCTTAAGGAGTCGCAGAGAACCTAATGGGTTACCGGGGCTCCGGCTCGACGAGCAGGAGAAGGAACGGGGTGGTTTTTAGTCAGTAAGAGCCTGAAACTCCCTCCCGCCTCACCCAGGCGGGAGCAGCATTTTAAGATTTTTCCCCCCTTAAAAAAAGGCCTTAAGGAGTCCTAAGTATAGTGTAACGTGCTGTTGATGATGACGAAGATTATTTATATTTCATTCATCCTTCATTGATTTTTTTATTGAATAGGAGGCAAACGACCTTATGGTAAGCGATCAGCGCCGCCAATGGAATACAAAGGAATACGCTCTTTTCTTGAATTGACTAAGGCTGAAACCAGCTGAAATCTACAGTTAACATATATCCAACCAAAACTTCGCGTGACAACATGCATTAATGAAAGAATGGATAGACAAACCTACTTCACAACAATTTTGTATTGCAACCGTATAATTTTAATTAAAAAAATAACGTTACTATCTGTCACTGAGATTGTAACAACGCGACCCGGCTGCCCAGGGGTTAATATTATGAACGTGATAGTACAAAAAATGACAGTGTAATTACTCACAAAATGGCTCCCTGTTCATTAAAAAAAAGGTGATTTATGGTAGTAAGGGAATGGTTTTTTAAACTGTGCTTGTAATTTTATGTAATCGCGCTTCTAGCTCTCTTGGGAGGAATCCCAGTTAGGTATGTTTTATTAGATTCATTACGATAAGAGAATAATATAAATGTTACTAGATTCTATTTTATTATAGACTGCACCGTATCGTCTCGGGTCCGATTCCAGGGTCGGGAAAATTATTACTGGGGCTTAAAAAATTATCTGTAGTAGCGCGGAGGCTGGACTTGTGCCTGGTATATGGCAATAGGCTCACCCCCTATTATATGGGACTCATATTGAGTGCCGTAATGTGCGCCTCTACGTAACGGAATAATATTTGAACCGATCCTAGCTGGTATGTGAGCTATAGTGGGCACTTACTTCCGAATACTGAAAGGTGACTCATTTAAAAAAACCACATCAAAATCCGTTGCGCAGTTTTAAAGATCTAAGCATACATAGCAACAGACAGACAGCGGATAGCAACTTTGTTTTATACTATGCAGTGACTTAATGACATACAAAACAAACGACATCACTGGAATTGACCAATGAGTCAGAAGAACAATATCACTGAAATAACTAATCGTTTTCGGTGTTTTAATTGCAATAAGTAGATAGAAGAATAGCTACTTATAACAACTTCAACTTCTATAAGTATCTGAGTAAGTAATGTTAATGAATTAACAAAAGTAATTTCAAAATCCATGCAATAAACGTCCATACAAATTCATCCTTTAAACAAAAAACATCTTTGATTAATTCCATCCCTAATGCTTACTGTTAACAAAGATTAAATTCCAACAGCAGTACTTGGCAATCAACTGGCTACCAACAAAACCTTTTACTACTGAAAATAAAGCTCATTTTTGCTTGTAACGTCCCAGTTTCTGCATGATTGCGACTCGTCCGTCGTTTATTTTTCAAAGCCCGTGGAGAAATCAGCCTGTTGTTTAATTTTCGCGATGTCTCGTTTAAATTCGGGGGCAGACATATTATTAAATGTCTAGTTGTTGTAGGATGTTCTATAGTAGGTTCTTTTAAACATAACAAACATACAACATTTACCCCCGAAGGGGTAGGCACAGATGCACATTACGGCACTTATGACTTAATGCCGCTGTACAATGTAACACCCACATTTCATTATTTATGTTAAGAGTCCCATGTAATAGGGGGTGAGCCTATTGCCATATACCGGGCACATTTCCAGACTCTGTGTTACTACTGCAATTTTTTAAAAACCCAGTAATACTTTGCCCGACCCGGGAAACGAACCCGAGACCTAGCAGTC